TCATCTAGAACAGACTTCTGCAGAGAACAAATAATCTCTAACTCAAATTTATAAATAGTTGTGAAGACCTGGTTTTTCCAGAGGACTTTTGAAGTATGGCTTGTGTTTATTGTGTCCTGCTGTGGTATGGTCTTGTTCTTGGGTGGTGCTCCTTGGTGCTCGAATGTAATTTTAATTATGTTATTAGATCTGGGTGCTCTGTGTATTATTGAAGTGGTATATGAGTCCTAATAAATGAGTAAAAAAATAAGTATTTCTCAACCCAGGAAATATTTATTTTTAGAATACACCGTACTATCAAGTTAAGTTCCTTTCCTCTAATGTTCCACTCTGATAAGCAATGCCTCAAATAGTATAATCTCTAGCAAAGAGATGGACAATTTTATTCACACTGCAGGCCATACTTGAATTTTGAAAGACCTGCTGAGAGCTATGTTCTAAGAAGTGGACACGTTCAGAACAAAAAATTAAATTGAATTAAATGCAGCTAATAGGATTATTTTCCCAGGTATCTAATAACTGCCACTTCTTTGGTTTTAAGAACTACAGTTTAGTAGCAACTTTTAGGATATATCATCACTTCTAATACATTAAAATTGCAATATGTTCATGAGAGGTCATAGCCTCAAGCATGTATCACTTTCCTAGAACAAGAAGGAATAAAACCACTTTTTTTCCTTTCTTTTTTTTTAAATTATACTTCCTTATAGCTTTTCCTCTGTTCCTATGGGAATGCAGGAAACATCTAATCTTAATAGGGCAATGAGAACAAAGGGTTAGAGGTTTCATCTTCTCAATAACTCCCTCACTTCAGCCTGTCATTTAATGGCTTCCAAAAAATTAAGTAATAGTTAAACCTAATGGCTTCTAAAACATAAATAAATAGCTAAACTTAATGGCTTTCAAAAAAATTAAATAAATAGCTATCTAGTGCCCCCCAAATGTGTTAGAGTAGGGGTCTCCAACCTTTCTGACTTTGCAGACCGGGGGGGGGAGAGAGGGGATGTTCTGTGCAACTAGCGGGTGTGTGCGCTTGCATGTGCAGCTCTATTTACACAAGCAGCAGTTGTGCATGCACGCAGTTTGCACAAATGGAGTTTCCCATGTTAGCACACTGCTCACGCAAATGGAGCTATGCACACTCACCCGCTGTTTTCACAGCCCAGAAGCGGATTACATCCCAGGGGTATCCCACTGTTAGAGCAAAACTTCCATCATTCCTAACTGAGGATCTCTCCTGCCTCCATGCCCCCTATCTTGATTGTCTAGAGCAAGTGTCCCCAACCCCTGGTCTGTGGACCAGTACTGGTCCGTGGCATGCCCGCAACTGGTCCACACAAACAAGGAAAGCCCCATTCGCAGGAAGCAGGCAGCATACAAAACCATGCCCCCTCTGGTCCGTGGAAAAACCTCTCTCCACATAACTGGTCCCTGGTCTAGAGGAGAGGAAATTTTTTTTTTAAAACTTGTTATGATAAAAACAAAAGAAAGATAATAGAGAGAGAAAAATAGCTGCTCTCAGCTAAACCGTTGCCCGGTCCACATTGGCACAATGCAACATATGATGCATGAGGCAAGTTGGCACCAAATAATAACCTATAAAAACCTAAAAAAACAACCCAGGAATACATATCCCAACAGCTTGCATCCAAGATGTGCAGTGTTTATGGGCCAAGGGCTGTCTTTATGCTGACAGCTGCATTTCATGAAGTGCATGTAGCCAGAAAAAAAAAATCTAATTTCATTTCATTCACATGCAATTAAAATCACATTTATTTAGTTAAATAGAGCTCATGCGACGATTCCCTTGTCATATTAAAAAATCACAACTAGGTGATCATTATTGGAGGTTGTCAGAGAATTACACCAAAGGATTTTAGAAGATGCATAGGCCTATATTACGGCCCAAACTGCCCCATGTATTTAAGTTCACAAATAGGAATAATGGTATAGAAAAGGAAAGGGGAAAGATACTTTGCACAGAAAGAGAACATTCTGAAAACTTTTTGGCTCCTAATCCAGCCTGGAGATTTGCGCATATTAATCTTTTCTTTTTTCCTGCTTAAAAGCTTTATAAAGGTAGTCCTCAACTTATGACCGCAATTGAGCCCAGAATTTATGTTACTAAGCGAGAAATTTGTTAAGTGGATTTTGTCCCATTTAACGACTTTTCTTGCCACAGTCGATAAGTGAATCACTGCAGTTGTTAAATTAGTAACAGGGTTGTTAAGTGAATCTGGCTTCCCCATTGACTTTGCTTGTCAGAAGGTTGCAAAAGGCGATCACATGACCCCCTGGGACATGGCAACCGTCATAAATATGAACCAGTTGCCAAGCATCCAAATGTAAATCACGTGATCATGGGGATGCTGCATAAGTGTGAAAAGGGTCATAAGTCATTTTTTTTCAATGCCCTTGCAACTTCGAATGGTCACTAAATGAACTGTTTTCAAGGACTACCCTGGAACTCCATTCACAACCACTTAACAGCAGAAGAAAATTTGAACTTATCTCTAGGGAAGCCTGGTGGTTTATGGTAGCAAGTTGTTTCTGGCAATGTTACTCTCTTACAGTATAAGATTGACATGGCATACATCAGTTCTCCAACCTTTCTGGGTTGGTGGCCCAGAGGGGGGAGGAGAGAAAGAGGGGATGGTTTTGTGGGAGGGGCACACACATGAGCACACACATGTGCATGCATAAGCACCCATTGTGTGAGTGGGGCCAAAACCACCTGCAACACTTGCACAGGTCCCTGCAATGCTTGTGCAAGAGGTGCTGCAGATGCTCGCAGAGATGCTTGTGCGAATGGGGCTGTGCACACATTGCATACCCATGCACCGGCCAACCACTCACACAGCCGGGTGGCCATTAGGCCCCAGCCCTGTAGTGGACCATGGCCCACAGGTTGGGGACCCCAGGCATACAGGGTATGTTTGAAGGATGGTGACTTCATGCATTCCCTTCATATGTAGCAGACTATAAAATCACCATCGCCCATGGTGTAATTTTGCTGTTAAAAGAGTAAAGCAAAAAATATTGTCCAAACTACATTTGATGCCTTTAATTTTCTTTCCTTTGCCTTCCAGTGTCGGTCAAAGAGCACAATAAAGGTTTACTTACCTACTACCTCTATGTATGATTGGCACATGAGTTTGCAATTAATGACAGGTCATTTTGACATCAGAAGGCCTCGATCTCTAAGCTGAACACAGTGACCCCCATACCAGTCAGGCTTCAAAGCAAGATGATTGAACCTAGCAAATTCACTCATTTTCTAATTTTTCTACTATAAATTCCTTCGACCAATTATCTCTTTTTTTTCCTACAAGCTTCCTGAAGTTATATACACATTTTATGTGAATTTCTCCTCATACATTCTGTATGCTTGGTTGCATATCGGTGTACTTTTCTGCAATACCACTTTTATCTATTGCTGACTGTCCTATTATATTGCATTTTTGCACTCTTCAATATTAAGCGCATAATGTTCTGTGCCTGGAATGTTGCAATGCAGTTTTGCAATTCATAAATGCATACTGATAGGCACACCTTACTGGCACTGATTGTGGCATGTAACTCTGTTCCATTTTATTTACAGGTATTGAAAGAATGAACAGGTAACCTTCATACTGAAATACAAATCAAACAAATCCCACCCACCCCCAGTGAAGAAATGCAAGATCTGTGTAACTCAGAATGACAGTGAGGAAAATATTGAGGGCTCATCCCTGTACCAACAATGCCATTATCTTATTAGCTTTTTGAACTTCCAGTGGCAGATATCAAATCCTGATAGGCACGAGTCTGCCCTGGAGGTCCACCTTGCAGCAAAAACCACCCAGCAGTCATATTAAATGAATAAACATTCAGTGCCCCATCCGTTCAGTGAATACTCCTGAGCTTAATGGAGCAGTTGTCTTACTTAGGATAAAGCAGCTTCCAATTATCCTACCACCTTTCTGCCTTTTACTAATTGCAATAACGACTCCACACTTACAAGTAATCAGCGATTTAGGACTACAATGGGGACCAGAATTCCCACTGCTAAACAGTTAAGCGAGTTACGCCTGATTTTTTTTTATCTTTTTGCCACTGTTGTTAAGTGAATCACTGCAGTTGTTAAGGGAATCCTTAAGTAGTCATTAAGTGAATCAGTTTCCCCCTCCCCATTAACTTTGCTCGTCAGAAGTCAGCTGGGAAGGTGGTAAATAGATGGGATGCTGCAACTATCCTAAATAGGTGCCTGTTTCCAAGCATCCAAATTCTGATTACTTGATTGTAGAGATACTGCAACAGCTGGAAGTGCAGGGACTGGTTGTGAGTGATTTGTTTCAGTGCCATTGTAAGTTGGGACAGTCACTAAATGAATGGTGGGTAAGTTGACTACCTGTACAACACAGCATTGTATGAGGTACAGTAGTTTAACATCCCCTAACACAGGGGTTCTCAACCTTGGCAACTTTAAGACTTGTGGACTTCAACTTCCAGAATTCCTCAGCCAGCTTTGCTGGCTGAGGAATTCTGGGAGTTGAAGTCCACAAGTCTTAAAGTTGCCAAGGTTGAGAACCCCTGCCCTAACATAATGCATTGCAGATCTGCTCCTACTTACAGTACAGTGGCCTGACAGTCAGGTCTGGGGAAAATGTATTCAGGTTATACCTGAGCACATTTGAAACATATCAGTTGGGTAAAGCTGCACTGCGTATCTTGGCAGGTACTTTCTTATTCTTTTCCCTTTCATCCCATGTCATCTCTTACCTCAGGGTTAGGCAATAACCAGAATTCCGGGATTGCAACTTTCATAACCCTGAGGTAGCATGACCAATTGTCAGAGACTGTGACAGATGTAACTCAAAGCAACACCACTGGGGGTTACCCCTGTTGCTTAGTCCACACCCCTACAAAGATTAGGTCTTTCCAAAGAGATAACCAAGCATTTTGAAGGCACATCACTTTAAAAAAAAAAACCCACACACAAACTATTTCATGACTTTCCTGCTTTAATTTGAACTTAGTTTCCTCATAAAAAATAATGTTTCAGGAAGATGAGATCCTAAAAGGGGTGCTTTGCTTTCTAAAAGATTTCAACTTCTAAGTTCCTTCAGAGGTGCCACATGATTTTTGGGAGTGGTAGAAGAGTTGTGGTAAAGGAACACTAAAAGAATTATTCATCCTTGATTGGCAGACAAACCAACGTCATTGGCATTCGAGTGTTTTTGCAAGTCTCCAAAAATAAATTCCTTCTTGGAATTGTCTTGAGTTTTGGATCCTTCTTGACTATTGCAGAAGAGTCTATGGGAAAAGAAAACAAAACAAAGTCCCTCAGTGCATGTGTTATGTTGCCACGCACTTGCTTCAGTGAAGTCACAAACAGTCCCTGCAGAGTGCCACCTGTCCTTTCTGGTAATCACGACATGGGCAGAGGCGCTGGTACTTCGTATTGCATCCAGCACAGCTGAATAACAGATGATCCTTCTGAAGGTAGCATTCCCGGACATTTTCGGCCACAGCTGGATAAAGGTGATTCATCTCAGACTCTGTGCTATCACAAACAATGTTGAACCTAAAAAATGAAGGCAAGACTTAGTAAGAACTTTGTGATGGTGAATTTTAGCATGGCTCTGTAGATGTCATCTCCATGAAAGCAATATTAAAGACCATTTAACATGTTACCCAACAGTAAGCACAGGGTTATTAATGCATTTTAAAGCACAGAAGAGAACAATATGGTCTCTTTGGTGAGCATATCTGTATGATGCGTACTGTTTTAGGGGGTTATAATTTTATACTTGTAGATATCTCCTGAGGGACAAATTGAATGTTGTTAGTAAATCTACAATTGGATAGATTTTTTTTAAAAAAAAAACTCTACAGAGATCATGATTCTTCTTCAGATTTCATTTGAACAGTGAGAGGTACATTTAATAATCCCTTCCTGTTTTTACAATCAGTGCCAATTGATATTTACACATAGGCACAACCAAACTGCAGAGAAAACAGTTACATAAAAGACCTACTTTTAATTTCAGTGAGGTTAATTAGGAACAGAAGAGTTGCATGGAGTTAAAGGATTAAACTCTCTTCTAAACTGATGAAATGTCTCCCAGAATTCCTTTGGAAATAACTCCCTTGGAGATGCATATCCAGTGCAGTGCGTCGAAAGTAATTTAGAAAAAGTGCTTTGGATTTTGCACAAACATGAGTGATCTCTACTATTTGCTAAAGGAGACTTTCAGATTTTGGGCAAATCTCACTTTAACTTGAATTAACTCCTCAAAGTAAAAGCCCCCCCCCCTTCTCTCTCTTTCATATCCAAATGAAGAATAGCAATAGCTGACTTCCACTTCCAAATCGCGGCACGTTCAGCTGTACAAAGAGATCTCTCTCTTTGTCAGCTGTTTTCCTCCGCCGGTAGACACTTATGCGGGTCTTAAATTGCCCTGGAGGGGCAACTACTGTCAAGGAGGCTCTTGCTCGACTGCGGCTCCCCCTACAGTCCGAGCTAACTCCGTAAGGCTGATGGAGAAGAAGATCAGCCAGTAAAATGGCCAATCAGTTTGCTGCACCAGCTGAAGTCAGAAAATCATCTAAGCATAAAGAACCACCATGGTGAATCTGGGTGAGACCTTTCCTCCCTCTCTCTGTCCTGACTATTTGCCTGTAAAAAGTTTTTGATCACTTCTCTGTCTTAAGAGAGCAGTTCTGTGTATTTGGGAAAGAAAATTTTAAAAGAACTAAAATAGTTAAAGTTTTATTGACTACTTAATTTTTTTTTTTGGATACCTAAGGGCCCTGAAAAAAATAAAAAATAAATGCTATATTTTTTACTTTATCTATTATACTGGAGATACCTGCTTTTGCTTTCTATGTTTCCCAGAATAGATAAACTTTTACCTATTTGGAAGAAAGAGTTTGCAGTCAACTGAGGACATCTTGTGGTGAAAAGTGCCATTACAACTGTATAGGTGGATATTTGTTGACCTTTTTGAAATATAGCCTCCACTAAAAGATCAAAGTCTATTCTTGATCAAAGTCTATCTCACCATTGAAATGGAAGAAGCTTATCCACAGCTCGACTATGAACTTATATTGGAAAAGATTTTGGAAACTACAAACTATATGAAAGCTTATATCAAATCTTGGAGAAAAATCAGAGATGATACTAGAGAATCACAAATTGTCTTTCAACCATTGGTTCAAACTACAGACCAAAGAATAATGGAGGAAGAACAAAGCAACCCTACAGAGGTTCCCACTCAGCAAGTTATACAACTGAATGAGACAGAGGAACTGCACTTACAATTTAATTATGAACTTACAGTAGAAACTACTGAGCAAATTAATTCTACACAATCCTACTTATGACCTATGGAGAACATTGATGATCAAAGAATAACATTAACTGAACTATTTGATCTTCCAAAAATAACAGAGCTTGCCATTCAGGTACAAGTTATTGAAAATTGTGACAATGTGGACAATCAACTAGCAACTTTAATAAGGAATAAAATTGACTATACTATTCAAACGATATTGGAAGAAAGAGAAGAGAACTTTGACTATTTTGATGTATTGAGAAATAGCCTTACTCAAATGTTGAGGTTTGATGATGCTGAGGCTTTATCTTGGAAACCGGTTTGGCATAGAAAGAAAGCTAGAGTTAGGTTTAAAAATGTGGTTTAAAATTCCACTGAATGGATTAAAAAGGTTGTTGACATTGGATTGTTTTAATAACAAATGAAATAGATGATTCGGTAAAAGTATATTTTTGTAATAATATTTGGTATTAAAGATGATAAATAGTTGGAGGGGTAAATTTTACTTAATTGATTGATAGAATATATATTTAAAATAGACAAAAATGTAGTTCTTTGGACTGATATCTTTATTTTAACCAAGATAACTATTTTGTAATAGAGGGAGAAGAGGAGATATTTGTGATAAGAGAAATAATAGTATTAATAAATGATATATTAGTTTAAGAAAAAGGCTATATTTAAAAAAATGTAAGGATGTTGCTTTTTGGGATAATATATTTATTTTAGATAGAATCATCATGATAAGGAAAAGAGAAATGAGGGATGCCCGAAGTGTTAATATGTCTACATAAGTTTAATTGGAATATAGTAATTTCTAAAATAGTAAAGCTTAAAAACAGGATTTGGATTCTTATAATTGAAATGTGATTGATGACCGATTGGATTGATTGAGCTTTTTTTATAAATGTAATAATTTTAATTGGTAAAATAATATGTGGGAAATAGAGAGAAAACTTTTAAGGAATTAATCTGTGTGATATATGTATGATTTTGTTCTTGGATAATTGATAGCCCAGTCACCACGTTGTTTCTTAAGCACTTTTATGTAAAATGAAAAAAAACAATAAAATTTCTTCAAAAAAAGAGAATAGTAATAGCTCTTAGACTTATATACCACTTCAGAATGCTTTACAGCCCTCTCTAAGTGGTTTACAGAGTCAGCATATTGCCCCCAACAATCTGAGTTCTCATTTTACCAACCTCGGAAGGATGAAAGTCTGAATCAATCTTGAGCCAGTCAAGAAGTATGTGGTATCATTGTTTTGTTATTTTTACATGAATGTTTCATGTTCTTTGACAAAATTTGCTTTAATTGTATGACCATGTGCCCAGTTATTTCCCAATCTGTTTGCAGAACATCTCATGGCTAACCAGTAATGGAATGACACATACATTTCCAAACTGGCAGCAAAAATTATCTTGATCTAATTTATACATGCTTAATCCACACTCCTCCAATGGTGAGTTCCTCTAGATGTGCTGGACTTTGACTCCTATCAGCCTACCTAAATGGCACTGTTGCCTGGCATATCTGAAAAGCATTTGTAGGGAAAATCTAGATTAAACTAACATGTGATAGATGATGTCAGCAAATGTAAAGAGGCCAATGCAATGAATGTTCCCACATAATCTCTATTTTCTCATAGTGGGTGCTTCTCAAAAGAGTAATTGATTTTAAAAATAAACATTTCTATTCACTCTATCTCTCTGAGTCTGAACAGCTTTTAGACATAGATTCCTGATCCATGTTCTTCCCAATCATAATCATAATGATCCTTTTAGAATTATTTAGTAAAAATAAGCATCCATTTTTTCCTTCTTCCTGGAGACATTCTGGGAATCCATAACATAGAAGATGATTGCAGCTGACCATACTATTAGCATCAAATTAATAATAAGCAGAAAAGGATGATTGAAGGTACAAGGAAAGCAGTGTTTTGAAAAAGCCATCCATATTCTATGTATTTATTACATTTATAACTCATGTGCCATTCAGGAAGCTTCAGGCAGCATACAATCCTTCCCCTCCTCCTATTTTCCCTTACAGCTACAACCTAGCAAAGGGAGGGAGGGAGAGAAACTGGTCCAAAGTCCTCCAGCGAGCTTCTCTGGCTAGGGATGGTCCAGAAACTGAAGCTGAGTCTATCTATTCTAGTCCAATATCTTAGTCTCTCATCAAACTGAGTCTCTAATAGTAACACTTTGTGTTTTCTCTCTGGACTTCAGTGAAAGTTACCAAGTAATGTATCCTTAGCTGACCATTTGGAGCCATCCGGTTCTTTTAAATGACAATTTCCACAACTGTTTGTCATTGACCTGGCTGACAAGGGTTGATGGGAACTGAGGTTCAGACTATCTGGAAGGTCCCATGTTGCAGCCTCTGCTCTAGCTTTAACTTGCCTTGCGACTCAGTAAATGGCTTGCCATCTCTTTAATAAACTATGATTTGAGCTAGGGATTTTGAACTAGCAATTTCTCTAAAATGGTTGAATTTTAAAAAGCTAAAGGAGCTTAGCGAGTCGAATCTGAGCTCTGGCTCTTATTTATCATATAAAAATGTCACTCGGACTCAAATTGCCTGCTTGGCCACCGTGACAAAAATGATAATGCACCCATTTTAATTGTCCGGAGCTATGTATGGAGCTGGGTGGCAGATTTATGTTCTATTAAAATGTCAGTGCCTCTGTGTTCCAAATGCATGCTCACAGACAGAGGGATAAAAAGGGAAGGGGATGAGAAGAGAATAATGGTGTCTTTAAAAACCCAACATCTTTTCAGCTGCATAAAGCTATTCATGCTCAATACAACTGGAAGGTCTGTCCAAATATATATATATATATATATATATATATATATATATATATATATATATATATATATATGTTTTCTGAGGTTTTCGCGGGTATTTGTATGTAGGTCTTTGGTTGTTCGGGTTTTCTCCCACGTAAAATACATACATATATATGTATGTCTAATGCATTGTGTGCAGAGGACACTAAACAAATGTATATATATGTCTAATGCATTGTGTGCAGAGGACACTAAACAAATGTCAGGGAGACTTCTGTGGAAAAAACCCTCCTTTTAAAACAGGAAGATGCAGCTAGAAGTAGATGCATATGACTCTAAGATAGAACGAAGGGATATGAGGTCTTTAAGCTAGTGCTGAAGCCGGAGAGCTATATTTGGAATACCAGAACTGAACAAAACTTATGGCCTTTCCATAGACAACCTAACCCTGGTTACCACAATATTTTTTGTTATATTTGCTTAATTTGTGAGAGGGTATTCATTTTGTTGACATTGCCACATTATTTGCTATTAGTAACGTGGCAGCAAAAATATACAATTCCTGCAAATCACTGAAAAATGTAGCCATTAATTCAAGACTAACTTGAAGAGTTAAGAGCCATGGTGGCATAGTGGTTAGAATGCAGTATTGCAGGCTAATTCTGCTGATTGCCAGCAGTTCAATTCTCGTAGGCTCAAGAATGACTCAGCCTTCCATCCTTCCGAGGTGGGTAAAATGAGGACCCAGATTGTTAGGGGCAATATGCTGACTCTGTAAACTGCTTAGAGATGGCTGTAAAATACTGGGAAGTGGCATCTAATTCTAAGTGCTAGTGCTAGTACTAACTCCTGCCTATACTGAAGCTAACAGGGCCAGGAAAGCTAAACAGCTTTTGAATTGTGGGAGATATGGAGAAACATTGTTTTCCAGTTATAGCTGAACTGCAATTACTAACAGCATCAATAAGCATTTCCAATACTGAGAGATGCTAAGAGTTATAATTCTGCCCTATTTCAAAGATTAGAAGCTCCTTATTTCTGAAACAGGGAGTGATGCCTCCTACTTAGCCTTCCCCAACTTTTGGCTCCCTAGATATTTTGAGACAGTCAATATTGATAGCTGCAGAATGCTAGGAGTGGTCATTTCAACAGATCTAAGAGGAAAAGGCTGGGGAAAGAGGGCATAAAACTTCATGTGGTGCTTCTTTCTTGGCATTACCAATTAACCACGGCAGAGTAATTAAAGCATTAACATTTGAGTCATATTCAACAGATTTCCCTTTTCCATACCCCCAACAGAGTTTCTACAACTCCCTATGAAACAAAGCCACCTGCAAATTTCAGACTCAGGCATTAAAGTGCAAGTTTTGAAACAGTAATATGAAACTGTGAAAAGCTTAGCACACCACCCTCTTCAAATTTGCCATAAGACTCCATCTGGGATACAAAACATTAACTTTCAATATAGTCTTGCCTAAATGTCAAAACTCAGCAACAGTACAGATAATGGTAATAAGGTGACCTTTTACTGCTTCTCCCAAATCAACTTCCAAAGCCTTCGTTGGAATTTTACATCTTCCATAAAGAACAGGAGAGCTTTCTTTGTGGGGTGGGGAGGGGGATAAGGGAAGGACATAAGAAAGCTAGACAACTTACTGCTGGAACACTTCTTTTTTGTTGAGGAACTTGAAAAACTCAGGCTCACAGACTAAATTGTGCTGCTGACAAGTTCTGGTGCATGCTTGGCCAGTCTCGGATAGCCACACCTGCAAGGACTTGACTGGGGGCCAGGCTGGAAGATGGCTGCTGCTTACATTATGAGACCACACCAGGGCAGTTGAATTGGGTTGTAGGATGAAAGGACTGAGAGAGCTTTGCATAGTTGGGCTGCTGGACTTGTCTGGTAGAACAGCAGTAGCACAGAAATCCTATCAGATTGGGGGAGAAAAAAGCACTTGTTACACAGACATTTCAAAAGACATTTCTCAGATTTGTAGCCTGATCTCTCTGATGAAGCTATTTTCTTAACCTGATGCTTTCCAGATATTTTTGGTTATAACTCCCACAATTACTAGCCAGCATATTGCTTGAGTATCCTGGAAACTGTAATCCCAACACATCAAGGAAATGCCAAATTATATCAAAGACAAATTTGAACAACATCATTATCCCCCCTCACGTATTCTCTTAAGACTGCAACTAAATTCAGATGCCATAGCCTTAATATATCTATCTTCTCTCCCCACCCCTTTTTGGTTATCAACTTTCCAAGTGCAAAGTTCTGGAGAACATATAAGCTGACATACTGCTTTCTGATCTTGAACTGGCCTAATAAAGTAATTACTGTGCAGTTGCATAGAGAAGTTTAGTCTTCCTCATTCAATTGTATGTTGCAATGGATATCTATGTGAACAGAGGCTGACACAATCTCTATATCGCACAAGTTAGATACAACCTTTTTTCTCCAAAACTGAATGATACTTACTACAGGTATTTACGCATTGTTGTTTAGAGATGCAAAATAAGAAAACACTAAATACAGCAAGCATAGACATTTGAAAACTTTCCCCATTGATTCAGTACTACTTTTTCCCCAAGTCACTCTCTCTCTCAGCCCAATCCACCTCCAGGGTTGTTGTTGTGGGGAAAATAGGAGAAGGAAGGAGTATTGTGTTATTTCTAGCATCTAAATCAGTGGTGGCGAACCTATGGCACGGGTGCCAAAGGCAGCATTCAGAGCCCTCTCTGTGGGCACGCATGCCGTTGCCCTAGTCCTAGGCCTTCAGCTGGGTTTTATAAAACCTTTTGGCTTTAGGCCTCCGCCATATGCAAAAAAAAAAAAAAAAGGTTCAATCAGTCAATTTCAACTTCTCATGGGAAAAAAAAAGATCTTGCAAAGTTGGAATTGATTGATTGAACTTTTTAGTCCCACCAGTCTGCCATTACCACTGCAGCCACGCCCACCAAATGGGCCATGCCCACCCAATGGGCCAAACCCACCTGGCACTTGATGATGCATAAGTGGGTTTTGAGTTGCAGTTTGGGCACTCAGTCTCTAAAAGGTTCGCCATCACTGATCTAAATCAATCATGGAGTACTTATAAGAAAGAAAAAAAATGCTTGGAATGGCCATCACAATTCCATCAGACATGAGTCTTATTGAAAATCTGTGGGAGAGTTCAGACATGTAATGCATACAAGGAGATCTAACAATATTTCTGAACTAAAAGTGTTCTGCAAGGAAAAGTTGAGAAAAAAAACTTTCAAATTAGGAACAGAAGGACTTTTAGTTGGCTAGAGGAAATTGTGGAAGGTGTTATTTTTGCCAAAGGAAGTGTTACAAAGTGCTGAATGGAAGGGTGTCCAGACTTTTCCACCTAACATGTCCTCTGTTTTCCTATTTTGTATCTGTAAATAACTGCACATAAATAATAAATATGCATTAAAACTTGAAGAAAAGTGCCACGATTAAATTGTTACATATACAGTAGCAGTGCTGCCTCTGTTCACTGAGGAGTTTTTGTGTGTGTGGTTTTTGCCTGCAATTGCAATAAAGCCCATGTTTTACTGCCAACAAAACTACCCTTGCTTTTATGCAAAAGTAAGTCATTAGATTCTGTTAATTCTGTTCTTTAATAGAGTCAGTCTTATCCATATCCTCCCATAGGTAAGTGCCACAGAGTTCATAGGTATTACTGCTAGGTAAGTCGATAGAGAAATACAGCTATGTTAAACGGAGTTTATAACCACTGCTAGAAACCTCATGTCCTTAAAGTCACCTATTAAGAGGTGAAGGGCTGAATTCCAGGATCACTGACAGTAGATTTTTAATAGATTAGTATCAACCTTGTGATGTGATGTGATGAATTTTTGGTGGCCAGTTTTTAAAGCAATTTTTAATTACATCTAAAATGCACTGAAATTACTCAAAACTGTGGATCTAAGTTGCCTTGTTACGTCTATTTATCCTTTACTGAAGTTGCTAATGTGCTTTCCAGAATAGACTTTTCCCTCCTTGAAGTGCAGAATACTTTCCCATAATATTGACCTGGTCTCGGAATAAGGGAGAAAAACTTACACTCTGCTTTTTGTGCACAAAAGGGTGCTATGGTATATACCCTTAGTTATTTTTATTCCTATTATTTCAAGGATTAAAAATGGAACAGTGTGCTGGTCCTCTCTGTGATATCAAAGCACATCATTTTGCCAATTAGCAAACAGAAAAAAGTGTTAAAAATAGTAACTGTCATTAACTGTGGGTAGAGGGAACCAAATTATACAGGAATAGATTAAACATGTTTCTGAGGAAAAAGCTTCAGAGAAAATATATGTTTAAAATAGCATTTTCCCATTTTGATTGCTCAAAGTTTGCCAAAGTTTCCAACATGGCCAAGAATTGGCTGGAAAGGGATTCAATTTTACTGATCATTTGGAAAATCAAAATATCTCATGTGGGGATTTCTTCCAGATTCCGTCTCCATATTTTTTCACTTCTGGCACCTCAAAAGAAAGGAAGAAAAAAAAACCACTCCCTTTTCACAATAGCCCACTAAGAAACACATGGGCAACTTTCTTGCTTTGATGTTTATTATCATTATTATTTAGAATTAATTTGTCTCCAAAAGTACTAAGGACTTGGCCAGCAATGATGTTAGGATGCTGGTGGAGTATACAGGGCCAGAGTTTTCAACCCATCTGTTAAAAAAAAAAATAGGACCCTCATTTCTCTCTTAAAACCCTTGGCTCCCCCAGACAAAATAGTACTCAAAATTTGGCCTAGCTCACTTTAGTAGATGTAAGTAAATATTTACGCCTCTGATGGCTGTGTTAGTGGAGGAAGGTGGGAACTCTGGTCCAGCACAATGGGAAAAATTAGGTCGATTAGGGTTATTTTATATTACATGAACAAAATTAATGGTTCTAGGATATCCCTATCTGCTGGGTTGAGTCAGAAAGAAGGGGAAGATAAGTTACCTGGTTTTGAATGTAGGCATGGATTCGCTCTAGCATTCCCTCAGACGTGTATTCATAGGGCAAGAAAGGATCAACCTAGAGGAACAGAGAAGCAAGAAATATGGACATGAATGAGTGTAGAATAGACTATCTCCATTATCTGTCAAAAAGTTATGAAAAATGTGGTATTCTATCATGATAGAATGTCTAACTCCATAGGTAATGGAAAACGTAATTCAAATAAGCAAGTCTGGCTGCATTTGCAATATTTTCTGTAAGAAGAACTTACCCTTTTTCATAGTTAAAAGTGAAAATATCATATTTTATATTTACATATTACAGACTTTAAACAGATTTTGGCCATGCATATAAAACTATTCAATTTACAATATAAAGCTACTTAACAATTATAGACAAAGCATTTGGAATGCGTGGAAGAAGCACACTGCACAAACAACGAAAATAACCTCCATTGCCTGGAGCCACTACCTAGTTCTTATGCAGGTTCTCATGCAAAACCACAAAGGCAGCTTTGCATTTAAGAGATTTCCAGAAATCTGATATTAGTGTATTGATCAAACTCCAGATTTTGCAATTACATGTGACCATCTGCTGGAATGCAAAGATTCTTCAGATCAGTTCACCAACATGTTCTGATCAAAACTATTAATGCCGGCTGTGTATTAGACTGCTGACATATTCTGTTGGGCCTGGAATATGTGGACTATTCAGTTTCAATCTTACATCTTAGCAAGCCTTAGCACACATTTTCCCTCCCTCCCCACTCCCCCGCCTTCTCAGAAATGCCAACAAGCCTCCTGTTGGATCTGTCAAATACACTCATGATGGCAATGACAGCAGATGCTTGCATCCATCTGCTACCCTCAAACAATTGGATGAAGTGTCTCCCTGTATAGCAAGAAGCCCAACAGCAAACAGATTCACTAGGACTAGTGGTTCTAATGAGCCTTTCCTTTCTCTTTCTCCTTTCTCTTTCTGTTTCTGTTTCTCTTTATTAAAAAAAAAAAGGAAAATAAAGATCAAAGCTGATAAAAAATATGTCAGGAAAGAAATCAAAATATAGGTAAGTAATAAAGGTGCATGGCATTCTTTCTTTTTTCCAGGATCTGCTGAATGCTTTAGTTAATTCTGTGCTTCTAATGCAAACTATTCTAACTATGAATCCTTTGGTCCTAAGGGTGTTTGAGTCTTTAAATAGTGTATTAGTAAGGAATGACCACAAGATGGAGGCTCTCTGTCATGATCTTTGATCTTAGAGCTTCTTGACACTTTCTACCTATTGCTTCTCATTTTAATTTCAGAATATAGTGTAAACTTTGAGCAGGTCCTTTTGAGGAGTCCTCAGATCCTGACTAAGCACTTAATAATTTGGTTTATTTACTTTTGATTCAGATTTGACAGCAGACAAGTCCTTGAATGACTCAGCACATTGTCCTGAGAGGAAGGTGTATTCAAGGAGCTTTTGAGAAGATGCCATCAAAAGCAAGGTCCTTGGGACTACTTTTTACAAGCCTTGGTTCAGATATTCTGTCTTTCCCATTTTAACTGATTTTCTCTTTTGATAAGAAAGAAGAGCAAAACAAACAAACAAACAAAAATGAGAAAATATGGGAAGGCTTCAGATGGGAATTTTCATGAAATTCAAGGACTGAAGCAAAGTGATTACTGATTAAGGATCCTGCCTGGAAGCAACTAGACTACATCAAGCCAAACAGCTTATAAAAGGATTGTACCTTCAGGTTAACTGCATTGGGAACCAAGAAGCTGAACTGTGATGCTCAAGAATACTTCCACACAACCATCACTTCAACACACAAATCAATTGTCAGAATTCTACAACTTAGGTGTTCTGCAAGGAGGCGTTATAAGACCAGTTTCATTCTATATTACTGTTATGTCCCGAGCCTTTGCAAACGGCTCGGGCGTTTGCAGGCAGTCCCGGGCAGGTGCAAAGCTGCCCGGGACCAGACAGGCTGTCGCCAGCGCCGTGCGCATGCGCGGGTGCTGGCGCGGGAAAAGTAACCCATTTACCCGGGAGTTGCCTATATAAGAGGCTGCGAGGCGTTTGGGCGAGGCTGAAGCCATCTTCCTGTAAGCTGAACGCTGAATAAAAGAAACTGAGAACTCCAGCTGCTTCTCGTGTCTGTTTCCCGCCACGGACTCAACACTGGCGACGAGGGTGGGATGCCTTGCACTACCTGGAAAGGAAGAAGTGTAAGCTTACCCAAGGAGTCCTGAGCGGCGGAAGAGGAACGGCGTCGACTCGGCAGCTGCCCGCCATTCCGGTGCGCATTCGGGGGTAGGCTGGCTGATAGACCCGTCTCCTGAAGATCCGAAGATGGCGAAAATCGGAAGGCTTTCAGAATTCGACGTCTCACATCCAGAGCGGTGGGAGTCCTACGTATCCAGAATGGAGAACTACTTCAAGGCAAACCAAGTGAGGGAAGATAGCTTGAAGGCTGCCACCCTGCTTTGCGTTTGCGGCCAAGACGCCTTCGAAATCGCAGAAAACCTTGCAGCACCTGTTCCAGTAGAGTCTGTAAGCTACGCAGACCTGAAGAAGCTGCTGAAGGAGCACTTCCACCCCAAGGTGTCCGTTATCTCATGGCGCCACACCTTCGAACAGAGGGATCAACGGTCCGGTGAGTCAGCCAAGGAATACATCGCCGCGTTACGGAAGGCCGCCAAGCCCTGCGAGTTCAAGGACCTCGAGGAACGACTGAGGGACCGATTCGTGTGCGGGTTAAGGCATCGAGAGCTACAACAGAGACTTTTCGCCAAGGAAGAATTATCCTTCCAAGACGCCTTAAGGGAAGTCACCGCAGAAGAAGCAGCAGGCGGCGCCGTCAAGAACATGCGGCCGATCAGAAGCAGTGCAGAGGGTGCGTCCGTGCACCAGGAAGACGTCCGACGAAACTCCGAGGAGGATCCGGACGAAGAAAGTCGACCGTCTACACCCCCGCGAAGGAAGAGAACCAGAAGGGAAGCTCTCGGCCCGCTCAAGTGCATCGGCTGTGGAGGTCGCCACAGGAGAACCGACTGCAAGTTCCGCTCCGCTACCTGCCGGGCATGCGGCAAACAAACAAGGGCCCATTGCATCTGTGTGTCTGGGCCGACGAAAGCACAACCCCAAGAAGAACGCCTGAAGGGTACCATATTCCCCAGCCAGAATAGGGTAGGTTTTTGCGCTTCGCGAAGAAGCATCTGTAGAACAGGCACACACAAGCCCATGAAGAAAAAGCTGTCACTCAACGTGAAGCTACAAGGGGTTCCATTATCTATGGAACTAGACACAGGGTCTGCCCTTTCCATCATTTCATTGCATACATTTAGGAAGATTTGTTCCAGTAGTGGGACTAAGGCCAAGTTAAGGCCTTCTGATATTGTATTAACAGATTTTCAGAACTCAAGAGTGTGTGTTAAGGGGGAGGCCACCCTTAACGTGCAATACAAGAGTTTTGAAGGTCCACTAGACTTATTAGTAGTAGGGGGTGAACGAACGAGTCTCATAGGACTCGATTGTTTTGAGGCCCTGGGGATACACGTCACAGGACTCAACAGCTTACAAACACTCGACCTACAGGAAGTCTGCAAAGAATTTGCAGATGTTTTCAGCCCCCAGCTGGGCACATTCAAAGGACCACCTGTGTCCTTAAAGCTAGACCCCACTGTCACTCCCATTAGGATTAAAGCAAGAAGGGTCCCTTTGCTTTAAAAAGTAAGATTGACACTGAATTAGACAAACTAATCCAACAAGGAATCCTAGAACCTGTTGATTCCAGCCCATGGGAGACCCCCATTGTCACGCCTCTAAAGGCAAATGGGGACATTCGCATTTGTGCTGATTACAAATGCACACTCAATAAGGCATTGCAGCAACATGCCTATCCTGTTCCTGTGGTCAGTCACATCCTGGCCTCTCTCAAGGGGGGCGTGTTTTTGCAAAGCTTGACCTAGCTCAAGCATATCAACAGCTGCCTGTTGATGATGATGCTGCCATAGCTCCGACCATTGTGACCCACAGGGGAGCCTTTAAGGTAAAAAGGCTACAGTTTGGAGTGAATGTCGCTCCTGGGATTTTCCAAAGCGTAATGGAAAACACACTACGAGGTATACCAGGGGTCTGCCCCTACTTTGACGATGTCTTGATTGCAGGAGACTCCACACACATTCTAGCTGAAAGGCTTAGGGCTGTCCTGTTAAGATTCAGGAAATCAGGCCTCAAGCTCAGAAAAGACAAATGCAAGATTGGGGTGCCTTCTACTGAATTTCTGGGATTCAAAATTGATGCTGCTGGGATTCATCCTGCTGAATCCAAACTAACTGCTATTTTAGAAGCACCCAGGCAAAGTCTAAGGCCGAACTTCAGGCCTTCCTAGGCCTCCTGAATTTCTACAATTCTTTTCTTCCACATAAAGCTAGTGTAGCTGAGCCTCTTCACAGGCTACTAGACAAACATGCTGTGTGGCTGTGGTCACAAGCACATGAGGCTTGCTTTAAAGAAGTCAAGGCCTTGCTCACTTCTAACAGTGTTCTTGCACATTTCAACGAGTCTCTTCCTGTGTGCATCGCTTGTGATGCGTCCCCCTACGGGGTTGGAGCTGTCCTGAGTCACCTCAGGTCTGATGGAACTCAGGTTCCTATTGCATACTACTCCAGAACACTGTCTTCTGCCGAGCGCAACTACGCTCAGATAGACAGGGAGGCTCTGGCTGTTGTTGCTGGAATTAAAAAATTCCACGATTTTCTATATGGCAGGCATTTCACGGTCTTCACTGACCATAAGCCTCTGCTGGGACTGTTTACCACACGTAAGCAGACTCCCCACATCATTTCCCCTAGAATGCTTAGGTGGTCTATTTTCTTGTCTGCATATGATTTTTCATTACTCCACAAGCCTGGGAAAGAAATGGGCCATGCTGATGGCCTCAGTAGGTTGCCTCTGCCAGTAGTAGAAGCTGACCCCGCGCCAGCTGTCAACATTCTATCAATCCAAGCCTTGCCCGAGCTCCCTCTTAGTGCCAGGGATGTTACCGCTGAAACAGGTACAGATCACACACTTTCACGTGTCCGCT